GACTTCTCTGACTGATTGGTGTTTATGGCTGGCATTTGGTGCACACTGACTTACAGAAATGCTTCAAAGTTACCATTCTTCAGTTCCATCTTACTTGGGGCTCCTGAGATGTTATTGGAGGGAGTAAATACCAAGGGGTGAGAGCTTACAGAAATAGTAAATTAGTATGCATGAGTGTCAGAGTGTGGTTCTAGTTCAAGATCCTACACCTGACCTTTTCTTATTAGGAACTTCCACGACAGCGAAAGTGGTGATTCAGAACTCTTGGTTTTGATTTTATTGTTATCAGGCAATGGGACTGAGAGGCAGGATGGCTTAGGAAAGTAGAAAGGCTCTGGATACTTGAAGGAAAGGGATGTGTCACTGAGGAGGGTACAGGAAGGGGGCTTTGCAGTCTTTTTTTTAACTTTTAGAAGATGCTGGAACAAGATAAATATTCAATAATGAGTATTTTTTTAAGGCAGTATTTTATTTTTTTTTTTAGTTTTTAGTTTGTCATAGGAGACATGCACTTGCCAAAGAGAGAGAGAATCAGAGAGAGAAAGGGAAGTAAAGTGAGAAATCACCCCTCCCCCAGGGAGTGGCCATGCCACAACTCTCCCCCACACCCTTCCCTTAGAACTATGGGCACACACACACCTGGTGTGATTTTTGAGCCACCAGGCCTGGGGCTCTAAATGGAGATTCAGCCATGTGGAATCCAGCTGCCTCAATCTCCACATGACCTACTGTCCCTCGTAGCACTGTTCTTCACACATCAATAAATATTCTGTGGTGTTCCAGTTTACTGGAAACATAGATACATCTATTTTCTCTATATTTAAAAACCTTTTAGAGTTAAATATGTTTGAATATGTTTGAATATGTTATTCCAAGTAGCCAGCTGGTGGTACAGAGGCCAAAGCACCTGGATCCCAATGGCCAACTGCAGTTCAAGTCCCAGACCCAGTTCCTCGAAACCAGGTGCATGTGCATGCCCCAGATCCCAAGACAAGGATGGAGGAGAAGGAACTGCAGCACGGTCACTCCCTGTGGGAGTTGATCTCTCACCTTCTACCCACCCCTCCGTCCTCTCTAGCAATCACACATGTGACACAGCAAACTTTTAAAAAAAAGCTATTCTTTTTTTTTTTTTTTTTTTTGAGAGGTGTTTGCTATAGGGCTTGTGTGCTCGCTGGAAAGACAGAGAGAGAGACAGACAGAAAGTGAGAAATCACCCCCCGGGGAGATGGCCACGTCGCAATCCCTTCTCCTCTCGGGATCTTGGGGATGTACACACACGTGCCTGGTGTGAGTTTAAGCCACTGGGTCTGGGACTCAAACCGCGGTCGACTACATGGGAGTCCAGCGACATAGCCATTACACTAACTGCTGGTCCCCAAGAAAAGCTATTCTAAAAAAAAAAAAAAAAGACATAGAATAAGAGATCTGGATTAATTACCACAAGAGAAAAAGAGATTTGCAATGGATTCTAACTTGGATATAGAAGGTTTGAAACCAGAGTTGTACAGCCTCCTATATCATTAAGATGTTACATTAAAAATGACAAACCACCACAGTGAGATACCAGTATACACCCAACAGAATGTGTAAGATTAAAAAGACTGACAATACTGAGTGCTGTCATACACTGCTGGTGGGAATGTTAAATGATACACTCTAGAAAACCGGCAGTATCTTAGAAAGCTAAACTTACACTAATCAGGTAACCCAGTAATCCCATGCTCGTGTACTCCCAAAGGAAATAAAAACACTTGTCTCACACAAAGACTTGTTCAGAGTAATGTTATTCACAATAACTCAACAATTGGCGTGATGAACAATATGTGCTATAAGCATATAGCAGAATGCAACTCAGCGATAAAAAGGACCAAACTACTGATAGATCCAACAATATCAGTGACTGTCAAACTCATTAGGTGGAACTAAAGAAACCAGTCACAAAAATCTCAAAGGCTTTGATGTTTCTTCAACAGTCCCATTTTATATTTATGAAGATCAGGAAGGTATGCTCCTGACCTGCTGGTTTCTCACAGCAGACACCCAGGGGATCACTCCTGCCCCCATGAGCCCCTGCCAATTGGAGGCTTGGGTTGAACATCACATTATAAATGATGAGCCTCTTTGCTCTTATTTCGAGTTTTACTCATGTCAGTTCACTGAAGGCATCGGTGTAATGTAGGAGCTGTGCTTGGGCCTTAGGGGTGTAGGAATCAGGTCCTGCGATCATGCTTACATTACGTGGATTAGATGAGCTGACACCCAGAGAGCATTTGGGCCTGCCAGGCACCCAACACGTGTGAACTCTTGTTCTTATTGTAACTGTTACCTTTAGTAAAGGGTTCAAATCTAAGCCAGCCAGTGTAAAGGATAGTTTCTCCATCCTGCCAGAGGTAATTGAGCTTTTGAAAAAAATTATGGGCTGACCTTGTTGCCTAGTGGTAAGAGTCAGATCCTACATGGCCAACCGTAGTTTGAGCCTCAGCCCTGGTGACTAGAAAAACATACCAGGGGTATATGTGCATGCCCAGTGTCCCTACAGAAGAGAGAAATGGGGTAGAAGGGATTGCAGCGTGACCACACCCTGCTGAGGGTGCTTTCTCCTTTCAACCTCTAGCATGTACTCTCTAGCAGTTAAAAAAGAAAAAGCAACTTTTTCTGATAATATGCTGTCACTTAACCCCGTTGGCTATTGATGTATGTTTTAAGAGGCCTTAATAATGATGGTAACAGTCATTTATATTAGGTTCACAGAAAAGGCATGATGTATTTGTCTGTTTTTCTATACAAAAATGCATCATGACTTTTCCTGACAACCTAATATTAACAGGTTGAGAAAATCCATTTTTAACAGACATTTTCTCCCCTTGTAATCTTGGGCAGGAATTATATGATTCAAACATTATTTTTTAGGGACACGTTGAGAAAAGTGCTGTCTCCTCAATGTTATTATGTTATATTATATTATAATGATGTATTATAGTGATATCACCCTCTATTTACGGATGAGGTTTGGAACCTATAGGCTCTTTTTTTTTGTTTTTTTTTTTTTTTTGGAGAGGTTTTCACTATAGGGCACATGCACTCACCAGAAAGACAGAGAGAGACAGAGAGGCACACACACTCCCCAGGGGGCATGGTCCTGTCGCAATCCCTTCTCTTTCATTCTCCTCTCAGGATCTTGGGCACGCATGCACACGTGCCTGGCATGAGTTTAAACCACTGGGTCTGGCACTCGAACCGCTGTCGACTACGTGGGAGTCCAGCGACATAGCCATTACGCCAACTGCTGGTCCCAGAACCTATAGGCTCTTTGCGATACTTGTTGTTTATGTTGAATAGAACTGTGACAGGGGAAATAAAGAAGATTCCATGTTGAAGTGTCTTAAAATGTGCATTGAGATATTGTGCTTCTTCTAGAACCTTGGGCTCTGCCCTGGAGATTTCCTTGCCTGACTCATTCACTGATGCCAGTGAAATTTATGTCTGTCAGAATAGAACATGCACTTTTACCATTACACAATCTCACAACGACAATGCTGTTTAGGTTAGCATCAACTTTAATGTAAGCATTGCCACATTGTTTGGTTTAGCCTCTAGCTCAGTATAGAAGAATGGTGATTTTGCTTTTAGAAAGGTTAAACTGCCTGTAAACAGTGTCACTCTTCCTTTTTGACTAACCATGAACTTGTTTGAATCTGGTCCATTGGGGCTCGATTTTGCTTATAAATGAAGAACAGTGCTTAGATTAGGAAAGAAATCTTAATTTGAGGTTCTAAGCCTTCCTGAGATTCAAAGCTGTCAGCCTGGCTATTCCAGCACTCCCAGGAGGCCTGGTTCAAACCCACTTGTCCCTAGATCCATGTAGAAAGCTGTACTGGTCCTAGAGAGGAGGCCACACAGATGACTGTGCTCTCTGTTCACTTTTAGCCTAAGCAGGAACTTTGCAATTTCATCTCTTCCCCTCTTGCTGCCTCATCTATTGGCTTTGGAAAGCCCCTCTTGGAGGAATGGTCATATTTGTGCTTCCCTGGAGGAGACCAGTGGGAGGCCCTGAGAACTGACTCCAGCTATGACCTCCGTAGCATTTAGAATATTTACTGGGGGATGTCCTTGGAATCAGCACTGTAGATGAGAAGGGGAAGAGGTGGGAGTGTGCAATGAAGAAGGTGATCTGTGGTACAGCTCATGACAGCCTCAGCCCATTCCAGAACTGGGGGAACTGGAGGGACCTTCAGAGTCAACCCCCAGTGAGTTGAGATGACCAAACTTTAATTCCTCCTCCATAGTTGGTCATTGAGTATGGATCAGGCAGCCCTTGAATGTGCTGAGGGCTGAGAGTCTTTTGAGAGCACTCCTAGCACCTGAGACAAGTCCTTTCTTAAAGGGTGACCTGGGCGAACCACCCATTGTCCATCACAGTTCACTAAGCCTGTAGGAGGCCATAGTAACAGTAGACTGGATGCCACCGACAACATCAGAGTGGCACTTCCGACACTGAGGCTGGTCACCAAAGTTGACCATGTCTTGGTCAGTGCTCAGACTACATGGCCTTCTCTGTAGGATTTTATAAGTATCTACTTTCTGGAAAATAGTTTTAAAAGAAATGCAAGAAGTGATATAGAATATAGAATAATCAGTAGGGAAGTTTAACTCAATGCAAAACAGGGAGAGACAGGGAAAACAAAATTGGAAGATAAATGACATTTAGAATATCAGTACATTGTAATTGCTTGGTGGAACAATGGTACACAGTTTTAGATTTTAAAGAAGATTGATTAATTTTGTTCTAATCTTGCGAGTTTGGAAATCCCTTGGGTAAGTCTGTCTTGAAAGAAGCAACACCCACTCTCAATGGACTGTTACCTGTGCAGCATTTATTCTGTGGAGATAGATGTTTCTGGAGGCATCATTGAACCAGTGTTACATCCAAATCCTTGTAGTGATGAACAGCTTTAGGCCATGTTCTCTTGATGCTGAAACTCTTTCTTCTGTTCCAGATATTGATGAATGCAGCACTATTCCTGGTATCTGTGATGGGGGTGAATGCACAAACACAGTCAGCAGCTACTTCTGCAAATGTCCCCCGGGTTTTTACACCTCTCCTGATGGTACCAGATGTGTAGGTAGGTTTAATTATAAGCAGCAGACATGGTTTGTATGAACATCTTTCTAAACAAGTTTGTTAAAGGGGGCTTGTAATTACTCATACGATGTTGAATGTACATTTATGGAAGTGTGTTTAATAGCTGAGCACCCTTTTTAAGAACAGGAGCATCTTGTGGTCTTGTTTTGGGATGTTTTGCTTCCATAAAAGAGGGGGGGTTGTCTAGGATACTCCACAGATATCCAGAGTCTATAAATGAACATTGTTTTATGTGAGTGCCAAACTCTGGCACTATCCTCATGTCTCTCTGTTTTAACCTCCACCTTTAGCCATTTCCCAGGACCTAGGTTAATTTAGGTCTGAAATTTTGCAATAATCTCTTAATTGGTCTTCCTGTTCCCTGGCTTCTCTACAATCCATCTTCTCAGACTTATCTTCCTAAAATAGTCCTTTGACTAAACAATACTCTTGCTCAAAAACCTCTAGTAGTTTTCCATGAAGACGGCTTTCAGTCTGTGTTCAGTAGATCCTTCAGATGCTATAGACACACCCAGGGCTGCTGAGGTTGGGAACAGAGACAGGGAAAAGGGGGAGAACTGAGTGGAAAGTCCTCCTGTTGCTGCCCCTCCAACACACACACACCACACACACACACACGCACACACACTCCAGGCATGGCAGTTCTGCTTTTATCTGTTGTAGATATTAGTCTTCCACATAAGGTATCAATGAAGTTAGGGATTCTGTTGTTTTAAAAAATACATTTGACAACTCCCAGATTTAGAGAAAACTTCCCTCAGAGTCTAGTACTCAGATTAAAAATCACAGCGTTCTGGACTGCACAGGCCGATCAGCACAGCCCCGGCTTCTCAGCACCCTATGAACCTTCAGTGGGTCCCTTCATGCCTTTGGCCACCCGTATTTCACTACTCAGAAAGCCGTCTCCGCACTTTCAGCTCCTTTTCTTGCTTTTGCCCAGGGTTTCTCTCTCTGAGGCCATCGCAAATCTTATGTGAAAGCAGTTTCTCCCTTACCTGAAGATATGCTTCTCCCAAATGGCCTCATAGGGAAGTTCTGAGTCTGTATGTTTTTAATCTTCCTAATTAACTTAACAATTAAAGACTGAAAATTGTCTTCATGAAAGATGGGCTGGCAGATGGTGTGGTGGTTAAAGGCGATGGATTCTCACATGGCTGGCCACAGTTCGAGTCCCAGACCTGCCAGCTTGCTCTCTCACTTTCCTTTTTTCTCTCTCTGGTTAAATTAAAAAATAATAACAATAACAAATGGAATTAAATAAATAATTCTTTAGGGGGAAAAAAGTTTCCCGAATGACTAGTAATTGCTACCCTTGTATCTGGTTGGTTTCGGCATACTTCTTGCATGTAGTGGGCTCTCTTTAAGTATTTGCCCAATATCAAATTGAATAATTCATTATTATTAAGATAAGCTAGGAATCTCATGGCATGTGGCTTTGGGGAAAGATAAATGCTGTCTTGTAATGCTTGCTTCTGGTTCCTAGTTTCAAAGACATTCAGATTCATGTCTTCCACAGGCCATGAGTTCAAACCAAAATTGAATTGCACTTGAAATTCTGAATTGCTTTGAACTTAGTCACATAAAATAAACGCTGAGGGCAGGCTCTGACAGCTGACATTTGCATAAGTATAACTAGTGAGGACAACTTCTCTGGACTTTTCTGTAGAATATCAGTGGCGTCTAGATTGCCTGACTTTCTAGGGTCTATCACAGACACTGGAATTTCAGTGAGAGAATGGCAAGTGCCATCTGTGGAGCCCTTTTCCTTTCCAAACTGTCACAGTCAGCACATGACCTCCAGTGGACACAATTAGCAGAGAGGAGACCAGAAACTTAGGCCAGACAATAGGTAGGTTTTCTTTTTTTAACCCTCAAAAAGAACCCCAAACTACATTACAAGGATTAAAATACATTTACATATCAGATTATTTACATTTTTATGTGAAATACCTCTTTTTAAATTTTATTTTATTTATTATTATTATTTTTTAATTTGACCAGAGAGAGCGAGGGAAAATGAGATGCAAGCTGCCAGGTCTGGGACTTGAACCACCATCGGCCGTGTGAGAGTCTAGTACCCCAACCACCATGCCACCTGCCAGCCCAGATAATTTACATTTTAAAAATGCTTTTTTTTTCAATTAAATATATCATACTAAATTTTTGCACTGAAGAAAGGGAAAGAAGCTAAGATTTGTGATCACTTTGTAGGTGTGAGATATTTTATTTAAATGATCTGAATTAATGTTCACAACAGAATGCTGTAGATGGAAGAAGCTGATTTGGAGATGTTAGATAAATCATTTGGTCAGATGTTAAAGGGGATAATTTGTGAGGGAGCTGGGATTCCATCTCAGGTTTATCAGAGTGCACAGTCCAAATTTCTCCCAATGCCTCCTTCTCAGGAATAGCAATAGAGTCAACTCTGTCATTCTCACAGGCAAGCACTCTTTCTCCTCCCTGGAACTTTATTGTACCCAGAATTAGCAGCTTGTGATATAAGTGGTCCACATGACCTTTCTGCCTTCCCCAACCATTGGGACCCCCAAAATTATCCCTAATGTCAAGAAAATACAGATAGTTCCCAATTTACGAACAAATCTGAGGTTTGTATGTAAGTGGGTTGTTCATAATTAGTGAATCTAGCAATAAAAAGTCTCATATGTGGATAATGATATATTTTCCTCGTCTGACCTTGAAATGCCAACTGTTAGCTCTGTCACCACTTTCTCCTGCCCCCAAACTTTCTTTGTACTCTAAGCTCTTGCAGTATTATTTCATTTTTTGTTTTGTAATCTTCCCTTGACCCTTTATAATAAACTGTGTGGGATTGCCCTTTCAAATTAGTGCCTCTCTTTCATTTGTAGTGGTCATAAAGATGCCCTGTACCTAGTGTGGGCCTCATAACTCCGTGTTCCTCGTTGGACACAAGTGTTAATGATTGGTTAGGGGAGGTCTAGTGGTAGGCTGGAAAGACCTACAAATACTTATTAACCCATAATATATTTGTTTTTATATAATGTGATTTCTGGGTCCTGAGAGTAAGGGTCAAGTGATTTGAAGGTGAGTAAGGAGGAAGGTTTCCTTCTCCTTTTCTGCCAGATGTCTTGGCCAGGGCAGGTTTAAAATGGACTAAGGTGTCTATGGTTTCTCCTACTTCCTTTTATGCCTTCCAAATCCTGGTCTTGTTCACCCTCTGCTTCCACTGGTCTTCAGATTATCTTAAAGTCGTCCTTTTAAAGTTATGTAAATGCGTACATTTCTTTTCTTTTAAGGAAAAATTCTGCTTCATAAAAAGAAAGAAAGAAAGAAAGAAAGAAAGAAAGAAAGAAAGAAAGAAAGAAAGAGAAAGAAAGAGAGAAAGAAAGAAAGAAAGAAAAGTACAAAAACCAAAATGACTATTGTATGTGCAGGTACCATGTGTAAACCAGGGACTGCCAGTAACCAAAATGCAATTCACAGTTTTTTTCAGCCCTAACATTCACCATTTTGAACAAGAGTCTCTAGTCAACTGATGTATTATTTAATTTAACCAGACGGGCAGTAGCATATTATCATGGTTGATTTGCAAAATAATAGATATCAGCCCATTAACAGTTTGCCATTGGCAGCTGTAGGTCCCAGTTTTGGTCTGAAAGATAGCCCATGATGAAAATTATATGTACAAATTACATAATATGGTCAAGTGTTTATCTTAGGTTTTGACCACCAAATTCACTTGAAGCTGGGATATGAGCCAGTTTTGAATATCTCTCCCCATGCTTAATAGCCTTTGGTTTCCATACCCCAAGTATTTACTAATTTCTGAGTATATAAAGTATGACTGGCTTCAGATCATTACAAGTTAGGGTACAGGAAGGTCTACTCTGCCCTCTGCTCAGTGGAGATGCCATTGTGGTCTCCCAGAGTGTGCTCGTCTTGCACACCCCCTCTCCAGCCATTTATTCTAGACCGGGCTGGGATAAGACTTGTTCTGCCTCTCTGCTGAGAGTATTGGTCTGACTGGAGGCGCAGGGACCAGAACCAGAAAAAAAAATTTCTGGAAAGCACATTTATGTTTGCCTGTGGTTTTAAGTACTTTTCAGAAATAATCTTGCCCCCTTTTAAAGCTGACCCATCATTTTCTTTTATAGTTTGTCTCAGTTTGTTTTAGCCTTCTTCATTTGATGTTCATCTTTTTAATGTTTCTACATTAGCCTTATTTTTTAAATTTTATTCCATTTGATTAACTTATTGGACCCCTTGAGATTTGAAGGCTTTGTGTTCTTTAGAATGGTGTAGGTGATGGCAATTTTAGTTATGTCCCTCCATGAGCAAACTTAATGTTTAATATTCAGACCTATAGGAAACATAGGGTTGGATTTTTGATTGTGAAGAACATTTTTTGTTTTGTTTTGTGTGTGTGTGTTTTTTTTTTTTTTTGAGAGGTTTTTGCTATAGGGCGCGTGCGTTCGCCAGACAGAGAGAAACAGAGAGGTAGAAAGCAAGAAATCACCCCCCAGAGGGGATGGCCACGCTGCAATCCCTTCTCCTCCATTCTCCTCTCAGGATCTTGGGCACACACACACATGCGCCCGGCGTGAGTTTAAGCCACCTGGTCCGGGACTCGAACCATGGTTGACTACATGGGAGTCCAGCGACATAGCTATTACACTAACTGCTGGTCCCAAGAACTTTTTGTTTTATGAAAGGACATACCACTTACATGCTTTTAAATGGTAAACATGTTTAAGCTATTATTTACTTTCCTAACCATTTAATATGAACTGTACAAACATGTGTTTTAGTTGAGGAGAGGTATACTCTCCACATCTGTCAGGAAGATAAAGACATCTTGCATTTTGCTACCTGCCTCCTTCATTTCATGACAATATCTCAAAGGTATATGGAGAAGTTCAGTTTTTCCTTTGTCAGCAGCTCCCTTTGATAGCCCAGAGTTACACTGCAGTGTGTCAGATGTCATGACAGTCAGACATGATGTAACCCAATAAAAGTGATATATAGAAATGTGTCTTACCATGTTGCTTTGAGAAAAATCCTTTCTGCCAAAAACAGAAATTCCTTCTAGAACTGTTGGATCCTATAAGAAAAAGCACTTGGAATCATGGATATGTTGAATGTGTAAACAATTAGTACCTTATAAAATCCCTTAGGGCCCAGGACAAAAGGAAATCTTGATTAATAAGCATTGGATCTGACTGAAAACTGGCTCATTCCTTAAAAAAACCAAACCAAAACCAAAACCAAAACCAAAACAAAAAAACAACACACATCTGACTCAATTAAGTAATTTGAAAGCAAGGATGACCCAGTGTCTCCTCAGTATAGACATGTCTTTATTATAATTAACTGTACCCACCAGTGATTTTCTGACCCCCTTTTCCTATGGCGCATATGGTTTTAATCACTCATTCCCACCTTGGGTGTGGAATGTGGGCCTCTAGCCAAGTACACCAGCATGTAGGGGCAAAATCTGACTCAATTAAGTAGTTTGAAAGCAAGGATGACCCAGTGTCTCCTCAGTATAGACATGTCTTTATTATAATTAACTGTACCCACCAGTGATTTTCTGACCCCCTTTTCCTATGGCGCATATGGTTTTAATCACTCATTCCCACCTTGGGTGTGGAATGTGGGCCTCTAGCCAAGTACACCAGCATGTAGGGGCAAAAGGTGTGAGACAAGGGATCTCAACCGAGCATTGTTCCTGCATGGCCCTCACAGCTTCCTTTCCAGGGGGCAGCGTGTGAGTTAATCCTGCCTAGCGTGTGAAGTGTGAGGTGTGGAGGCACTGGGCAGGGAAGTGTTTTCACTAGTTTGATCTCAATGATGTGTGTGTGTGTGTTTCTCTTTTCCCTCAGATGTTCGTCCAGGATACTGTTACACGGCGCTGGCGAACGGACGCTGTTCTAACCAGTTGCCACAGTCCATAACCAAAATGCAGTGCTGTTGTGACCTCGGCCGCTGCTGGTCTCCAGGGGTCACTGTCGCCCCTGAGATGTGTCCCATCAGAGCAACTGGTAAGAGCCGTTCCAATTATCTGCAGAATAGCCAACTTAGCCCTCACAAGCCCAGTGGCACTGTGCATGATGCAGATCTGATGGAAACTATGAGATGACTTTGAGAGAGATTTCTCCAGGTAACAAATAGGGAAAATACAGAAGTCTTTATACTGAGTCCTAGTTTCAGGTACCCTAGCTTCTTCCCTAGCTTGTTTATTCCTGTTGAATAGTGAACTTTTCAGGAAGTTCTTGTTCTCTCTTATTCTCACATATTTCTTTGGTTCTCACATCACACTCAAAAGCTTGTAGGGTGAAACACAGCTGCCCTAGAACTTTTCAGGTGAGTCATTCAGGACACATGTTTCTTCTTTGCCTAACATTTGATTCTTACCCTTTGTTGTTGTTGCTGAGTCCTGTTGATTTTTTTCCTTTACAATCGCTCCTTTTTTTTGGGGGGGGGGGGGGGGGGGGGAGGGAGGGATTTTTGCTATAGGGCGCATGTGCTCACCAGAATGACAGAGAGAGACAGAAAGCGAGAATCATGTCCTGGGGGGATGGCCACACTGCAATCGCTTCTCCTCCATTCTCCCCTCAAATCTTGGGCACATGCACACACATTCCTGGCGTGAGTTTAAGCCCGACCGAGTCTGGGACTTGAACCGCAGTCAACTACATGGGAGTCCAGCAACATAACCAATACACCAACTGTTGGTCCCTACAATATCTCTTTTGCCTATCCTATGCCTTTTATTTTCAATTAAAGCTTATTTTCTCTAGACTGTCACAGTAGCCTCCTATCTGGTTCCCCTGAAATCCACATCTACCACATACATTTCCTGAAGCATAACTCATCTGAAGTTAAGTTAAAAAATTATGTCTGGGAAAGATGTAAAGAAAGATACCCAGAAAAATTTCCCCAGGATGGGCTCAGGCAATACCTAGCTGTCCAAGTCACACCTTTTCTTGGAAAGAAAATTTTACTACTAGCCATAGCAGTTAGAGTCCCCAAGTATGATCTGAATTTAGTTCTTATCTGTATAGTAGCTTAATTTTCTAGTGCGGTAGTATGACTGAGTTTTCCTCGAATGCAGTCCACACATTTCCAAACTCATTCCATTCCTTATTCCTAAAACTTCTGCCCATTTCAGAAGTTGCTTACTGCTCCCACTCCTGCCACCCTTGGTGGTGACACATCCTCTTGTCTGTGAAGGACTAGCTGGAAACGCTCCCTTGTGTCTTGTGCCCCAGTGGTTCTGGTCCGCACTATGGCTGTGACACAACTCCTATGCTGTTCTGCCTTGTGCCTGATCTCGTTCATGTATTGCTTTTTCACTAGTTGATAGATCTCATTAGGAACTCTCATTATTTTAGCTCCGTATTTCTCATGGTTGTTTTGTTTTGTTGATACTTCTACAGATTTAGCAAAATCGTGCTTAGAGGAGATGTTCAGGTAAAGTGAAAAACATGTTAAGTGCCATCTTTCCCACCAGTTCTAGCTAAAAAGTGGGATTCTAGCTGCCCCTTCACCTGATTCCTGAAAAGTGCATTTAAATCATGGCATATAGGAGAGATGATGAATGTGAGGATGGCTGAAGGCAAAGCACGCTTTATAGCGTGCTCTTCATAGGACGTGGATTTCCTGTCATCATGGGTTACAGAGCTGCTCACAGATGTTACAATAAAATGTGTTTATTGCTGAGAATTCTGTATGGATTAAAGAAGCAATGAAATCTTTCAATATATTTGGACATATAACACGTCCTATGTTCTGTCTGATTTGTTCACTGTCTGTGGCCTAAATATTGGGTTGTCTGAAAAGTCATGACATACTTTTTCTGTTTTTCTATGCAGAAATGTGTCATAACTTTTCCAACAACCCAACATATAACTCTCACCCTCTTTAGTTCACTAGGAGACCACTTAGTGGGTCACTGCACAGTGATAAATAGAAGCACGTGACTTCCTACTGGGAAATATGGCTTGGATACCAGGAGGATCATGTTTTTAAAAATTATTAATTATTTTTTAAATTATTTTTTATTTAAAAAATTATTTTATTAATTTTAGTAATTTTTAAAATTTGCTGTAGGGCATGTGTGCTCACCAGAGAGAGACAGAGAGAGAGAGAGAGAGAGAAAGAAAGTGAGAAAGCAAACTTCTAGGTCCAGGAATCAAACTGCAGTAGACCATGGGGGAGTCCAGTGCTTTAACCACCATGCCACCTGCTGACCCCAAGAGAATCACTTTTAATCATGCATTTTTAAATTTAGAAATCTGTACTACTGTTGTATATTCCTCCCTGTATTGAAGCCTCGAATATAGAAAAAGGACTAGAGCAGGTATAGGTGCCTGGGGAAAGACCTACCTGGGAACAAGTGAAGCAGAAAGTCAGGTTCCTCTGTGTGGTTTTTCAGGGAGCTGCCCTTCCGTGTGGACCACTTAAGTAAAGTAAGTCCCTTCATAGTTGCCATTCAATGAAATCCAACACGTAGCTAATTAGTTCCTCTTCATAATTTGCAGGGCTGTGCTGAGGATGAGAATTAGTTATGAGTTAGACATGATCCTTGACTTCAAGACGACATGGTCTTAGTGGTCGAAATTTGGTAGAAGCAGGTACCTAGGGAATAATGAATGTGGCATGCCCAGGTGATAATTCTATAGGAAGAGTCACCTTGGTCTGACAAAAGGGATTATGGCATCCTGAGTCAGGAAAGCATACAATGTGAAATATTTTTGAAAAGCAGTGAAGGACTACAGAATCTCTGTGGTGGGTTGAAATTCTAGGTAAATAATAATGAAAATTCAGTAATGGAAGTCTCTGATAATGTAAATTTGACCCGAGTTTGAAATGTCCAAGGTTATTCAGAAATGGACCTATAAGTAACAGCAAAGCATATAGTAGCTCGTGTGTTTAGCGATGGGTAAAGCAGCAGAATGTCCCATGGGGTTTAACTACGAATGCCTTTCAGTAAGAAATATTACAGTGTCTTCAAATAAGGTGAATTTTGGTCTATGAGGATAAGAAAAACATTAGCCTAATGTCTACTAATGGCTGAAACTAGTATAGGAAGTATGGGAAAGTCACCATGTAACTGTACTCCAACAAGCTGTGGTAATAATATTATCAATATCCTGGCAAGAAAGAAAAAAAAAACCCAAATTTTAAAATCACATGGTTAGTTTACTTACAGAGGGAACTGCAATAAAATAGAGCTATTTTTTGGAAACATGAAAGTGAATAATATAAATAGTTCCCTTCCATAAAATACTTTTTTTAAAAGCCTAAAGAATGTATCACAAACATAAAGATGATTTATTCTCATAAATACCTGAAATTGTAAGAAATAGTAATCAGTCTTAAAATGTGCAATCCTAGAGAAATTGAGAATGACTTCAAAGGATCATCAGGTGACACATAGACCAGACCCACTACCCCCTGGTTTTTCTCTTCCCCGCATGGGCCTCTCCTCCATCTGCTTTGTTATCTTTCACAAAAGAGTGTTCCTCAGGACACTGTCTCCATACTCTCCTCTCTTTACTTGTCATACTCGTAGATGCATCCCCATGGCTGTAAATTCCACCTCTCCCCCAAGGACTCCTAAACTTAAATCCATCTTGACTTCTCCTCTAGGCTTCAGCATCTCTTAACACCTGCATATTGATATCTGCCCTTGGATGTCCAGTGCCTCAAAACTCATACGTTCAAAGTGGAACCTCCATTCTACCCACCAAACCTGCCTCTTCCATAAGGTTTCCTCTCTCAAGCAAGAGCACCAATATTTACTCAATTGCTTAACCGGAAAACTAGAAATCACTCTTGATTTCTTGTTCCCTCAACTCTGCCATTTTCACCTTCTAAAATAGGTTTCACACTTGTTCACTTCTGACCATTTCTGTCACTGCCTCCCTTTTTCAGCTGTCTCTCTCTCTCTCTCACCTTCGATCTTTTGCAGCATCCTTGCCTCCCTCCTTCTCCATGTGTCAGTAAACCTGATCTTCTAAAAATATTTATCTGATCATGTCCCTACTGACGGCTCCAAATGGTTTCACATTGCACATAAAAGGGAAAAAGCAAGGGACCAGCAGATGGCATAATGGTTACATCAGTGGACTCCCATGTAGTTGACTGTGGTTCAAGTCCCGGACCCAGCAGCTTAAAACTCACGCCAGGTGTTCGTGCATGTGTGTGTGTGTGTGATCAAAATCCTAAGAGGAGAATGGAGGAGAAGGGTTTGCGGTGTGGCCATCCCCCCCGGGGGGTGATTTCTTACTTTCTGCCTCTCTGTCTCTCTGGTGAGCACATGTGTCCTATAGCAAAAATCTCTCTTAAACTTTTTTTTAAAAAAAGGGAGAAATAGCAAAAATCCAAGTTTTTTTTTTAATGTTTGCTCTATGGAGCCCTCTGAGATTCACTTTCAATAGAGAAAGTGGCATTTTATATTTCCTATTAAATTAAATTTTGATATAGATAAAAAACTTTCTGGGTTTATGGAGGGGCTGTATGTACATACTCTGGGGAGTTTGTTTTGGTTTTGAATGACTATTCCAATATGGCTACTACAGAAGATATTAAAAATGGAAAAGAAATCAGCCATTTTTTTCACTTTCTTCAATTGACTTTGGTGGTTTGAAGGTCAATTTTATGAAAGAGTTCCTTAAAAAGGAAAGATGACTTCTACGGGCTGATGATACAAGCTACAGCTCAGCTATTGTGCTCTGTTTGTGTTCTGTTTTTCCAGAGGATTTCAACAAGCTCTGCTCTGTGCCTATGGTGGTTCCTGGGAGACCAGAATATCCTCCCCCACCCCTGGGCCCCATTCCTCCAGTCCACCCTGTTCCTCCTGGCTTTCCTCCTGGACCCCAAATTCTGATCCCTCGACCACCAGTGGAATATCCATATCCATCTCGGGAACCATCAAGTAAGAATTCCACATTCAGTTATTTTTCTTGCATCCATTGGTTTACATGTTAGTTGATGCTGCTTTAGTCATCGACCACCAATTGTTAGATTAAAGTTTTAGTTTATATTTCTTGTATTTCAAGCTTCTCAGTTTTCTTATGGCATGAGGAAAAATGGGAGGCTTTCGTATACTCCAGAGATCAGTGTCCTTTTATTATTGATATTTCCAGCCAACTGTGGGAGAATTATGGGAGAGATTTAAATCTAATTCACAGGAAGATTTTATGGAGGGGGTACGAGATTGTACTTTGGGTTATATAGCATGCCAAGCAGTTTTGCAAGTAGTTAAATACCAATAACTCACTGCCTTTTTTTATTTCCCTAAATCATGACTTGAGAGGGAGATGAATGGGGCAAGGAGAAGCTGGCAGAAGAGCAGCCTGCAGCCGCAGTGCTGATAGGGTCTCTGCTGGTGGGAAATATGGAAATATGCTCTGTTGGCACCAGATGACCTCTGCCCAGAGAGCGTCCTCCCGCCTTTATGACTCAGCACCTTGTCTGTGACTGTCGGATTAAGTGCTGCTGAAAGGTGCTATAGTTACAAATCATTTTAATGTGTTTCAATGTTACTCTTC